GGTCAAATCTAGGAAGTACAAGGTCAAGCAAGCTCGAAGGAAACGCAAGGCGAAGGCTAAGGAAGGGAAGTGTTGGTGCAAGCCTTGTACGAGGAAAAGACAAGCTTGGAAGATGGAGGCTCGAAGGCGAGGTATGCAAAGGATGGAGGATGGATGGATATGGCGAGCTGGAGATTGTATTGGGTTGAAAGGTTGGGACCCATGGCCAACGGACGAGCAATTGTGGTCGATCGATGATGGAAAGGCGAGCACGACACGATGCACAATAAGGTGATTCACACGGCATTGGGCACACGCGGGTGCGGAATAGGCGATAAGAGCACCGGCGTGGGTGGGACGTGCAGTGTAGAGGATCGGAGCACGGAAGTTGACTGGGATGCGTTGGCGTTTGGCGGCAAGATGATGGAGAGCAGGGAGTGCGCGAGGTGAGCTCACACGGGCGAGAGCCTAGGCCTTGTAGGCCTAGGACTGGCGGGAGTGGACGCGCAGCGGACAGGGGGCGAACATGAGGAGCGCGCGGGCGGAGACGCGTGGACGTACGCGGGCGAAGGCCTCAGCCGCATAGGCTTAGGCGAGACGGGCAGTGCGCTGGCAGGATCAGACCGCGATGGCGTAGGCGAGGGAGTACCGGGCGACAGCACACACGCGCGGGAGGATGGCAGCAGCGACAAGGAGCGCGCGATAGCGCGCGAGTGCAGAGAAGGCGCGGATGTCCTAGGCGGGGCAGGATTAGGCGACACATGCGAGGAGACGCACGCGCAGGGGGCAGGTGGCGTAGAACTGGGCGCGTGCTAGGACACGCGCATGGAGCACGGACGAGGCGTGCGATGCCTCGCGCGCCAAGGAGTAGGAAAGCCCGAAGGGCGACGCGCGCGACAAGGGCGGTTGGGCTTAGGGTCGGCCGAACTTGGAGTGCAAGAAAAGCAACTTGGAGATCAAGCCTATTAGTGTAACGCCCCACTTTTATTTACCGAAAATCAGAATAAATTTTTCGAATTTATTTCAAAAACAATATTCGAGGCGCTACTCATTTTCAAATCAATAATCAATACTCGACATTTTCTCAATATTCCGCAATTATCGATACTCATAATCAATAAGAAAATCCCAATAATCAATCAATAATCCAATAATGATCCTAGGGAGATAATCCCTATCAATAATCCAATACTAGAAAAACAATAGTCAATAATAATGCAATAATATCCAAATTCAGTTCAAAGCGGAAGCATTTATTCAAATTAAAGACCACCACTCGCATCCCCTCTGTCGTGCCGCTCTATCTAACCTTCATCCATGAAGAGCAGGTGGGATGAGCACAAAGGAAACAGTAGTGCTCACCGCTATGCCATAAACGTTAATGTCAATAATCAACAGTAATCAATAATCAAAAGGTATGGTCTCAGCATGTATACGAAACAATAATCTATCCCATTCTCCCATCAATAATACAATAATCAGACTCATGTGCACACCTACGCATAGACTACTGCTGACTATATATCGAATACCCTCCGGTCCTACATCTAGTGCCAGCCAGTAGGAGTAAACCACCCTACCGGCCAAGGCCTTGCCTTGGACTTACCAATGAGGATCACCGGCCGAGGGACCTAAGCCCTGGTCTTACGGCTTCTCAAGGGAGACTACCCGAAGGTACGTTCTATAGCTACGGGGACAACCGTCCGGTGGCCGATACAGCTCACACCGAAGGCTACATGATTCACATGCATACTTTGATCATACCACAATTAAAACAGTAATAACATTTAAGGCATAGTAAATTTTACAATTACAACCCACCTGGAAATTCCGGTAGAAATGGCACACAAAAGTGAGCACGTAGAATGAGGCTCGACTCCTCAAACACCTACATTTAAGCGATATAATTATCAATAATTTATCTCACTACTCAATTTATCATAAAACCCATACTTAATAAAAATTAAGTCTTAAGGGTTTTAATCGGATTTTTCGTAGACTTGGAACTCTCTAATTTTTGCAAAACAATAAGACTCGGAGAAGTAAATTGGGGTCTCGGAACTTAAAATAACTTTTCCCAAAATTTTATCATTTTAAAAATATTTTTAAAATTAAAATCGGTACGAAAAACGGCTTCCAAAACTTAAATAGGCTTAAAAAGGCGAGTTGGGCCGAGCTGGATTTTGGCCAATTTGGCCGCACCTGGACTGAAGGGGCCCAAGACACAGCCTGTTAAGGGAACATTGGCGCGGGCTGGAGCAGGGCCTTCGCGGGCTGAAGCTGTTTGGAGGATCGGGCCGCGCGCGGGCTGGAGCGGGCCAAGCGGCCCGCGCGCCTGGGAGCTGAAATTAGCAAAAAGAAAGGCTACCACACACAACGCTGGGGTTCGAACACGCGACATCCTATACGGAAAATAGCTCAGTAACAACTGCGCCACACGCTCAATCGATGATTGGAAGAGGAAACATAAAATAAAACAAAAGCTGCGGACCTGACTAACAACTGAACAGAACAGAGACTAAATATTGAACAGCAGCATAACATTTGAAAAATTTTAACAGAAGCTACCACAGTTTCGACTGAATTTCCAGTTGCGATTTCATGAAAGATTCGAACATTTACGAGCATAACGACTTTTCTCGAGTTTTGAAAATAAAATTTGAAATTGGATTTACTCAGAAAAAACACAAAACGACCAAAATATACAAAACAACGACGGGGCTCGAACGACCGAACAACCTAACGACGGCTCGAAATAACACAACGAGACCTCGAATTTATACACACATATCACAGCAACACAACGGTATTCACGTTTATGAAATCGAGAGTTCCAATCACCTCCGAAAATCCACGAATAAACGAAATATACACACAAACAATTAAGTGAACCAAAAACAATCCGTCTTCAAATCAATTTTCGGTAAACCGAACACATCATACATATAACGTGTGATATATGAAATCGATCGTAATAACGAGGGGATTCAAATAAATTACCGGACTTTGGGAAACTACGAGCTATCAAACGGGAAACGGGCCCGACAGCGGGTCGGACGAACGACTTTGGGACTCGGACTCAACCCTTTGAACACGGGGTCTGTGACTGTTGGTCCTCGACGGCTCGATCTCTCTGTTGAGTGTACGTTGACGACGAACGGTGCTGCTCGGAGGTGCACGCCGGAATTAATGGTGGGAGCTGCTACGACGTTCGGTGTCAGAAAACGGAGCTTCGTCAATGGTGGACTGCAGATGGTAATGAACGACTTCTACTGCACGACTGAGAGGGTTTCTCGGAGAGACGCCGACGAGGGTGAAGTTCGTCGGAATCAATGGCGACTGAACTTGCAGGTTGGGGATTCCCCTTTTTTTTTTAAAGAGAGAGAACAGAGATCGAGAGATGATGGAGAGTCGAGTTGCTGCAACTGATATAGGCGAGATGGAGAGATCGAGGGAGGACGTGCGTGGAGGATTTCCTACAAAATCGCAACGTGATTTTGAAAAGAACGGCCGAAGGCTCGGTCTTGCGGGAGAGAACATTAAAATTGTCGTGCGATTAATTTCTCTTGGGCCAAGAATTTAAAAAAAAATGGGCCATCATATATATCATGATTTGGGCCTCATCTTATGCCATTTGGGCTGGAAATATTGTATCAAATTGGGCCAATTATATCTCAATAGCTGAAAACTAAAAGGGCCGGATATTCTAATTTAATCGGGTCAAAAAAATACAATGCGATAACGAGAATTCTCGATCGATTCGTTAGACGACGATAAACAAATACACGACTTATAATACATATATATTTCACACAATATTTTATTAGTAAATCATTTAGATAATTAATATTAATAATAGTAATATTACTAATAACAATTAAATAATAGCAAATTGACATTCAATAGCAATAATAATAATAATAATAATAATAATAATAATAATAATAATAATAATAATAATAATAATAATAAAGACAATTTAATAATAGTAATAATCAATAATTATTCCCAAATAATCCACAATAAAACGGGGTATTACAATCTATCTACCTTACAAAGAATTTTGTCCTCGGAATTCGAAAATAAACTAGAAAGCGATGAAGAAATACAAAGGGAAATCAGAACTCAAAGTTCGGATATCGCCTCTGAAGCTCGGCCTCCTTCTCCCAAGTCGCCTCCGTCTCGTCATGTCGGCTCCAAAGCACCTTTACCAAGCTCACTGCCCGGTTCCTCAACTAATGGACCTTCTGGTCCAAAATAGCTACCGGTACCTCCTCGTAGGTAAGGTCTCGCTCGACCTGCAGTTCGCCGAAGTCCACCACGTGACCGGAATCATGCACGTATCTCCGCAACATCGAGACGTGAAACACGTCATGTACGCCCGACAAGCTAGGTGGTAAAGCCAGCCGATAAGCCAAGTTCCCGACTCGGGCAAGGATCTCGAAGGGCCCAATATAACGCGGTTTAAGCTTCCCCCTCTTCCCGAAGCGAATCACACCCTTCATGGGCGAGACCTTCAGGAAGACGTGATCTCCGACGGCATACTCGTGCTCATCCCTCTTCCGGTCGGCATAGACTTTCTGCCTCTCTTGGGCTGACCAAATATGCTTCCGGATGGCCTCAACTGTCTCCGCAGCTCTAAGAATGAACTCCAGACCCATGATCGTCCTCTTCCCGACCTCATCCCAGTACAAGGGTGTTCGGACCTTACGTCCATACAATGCCTCGAACGAGACCATCTTGATCGTGGAGTGGTAGCTATTGTTGTAAGTCAGCTCGACCAAAGGCAAGGCACTCTCCCAGGTTAGGCTACGGTCCAATACCACAGCCCTCAATATGTCCTCCAAGTACTGGATCGTCCGCTCCGACTGGCCATCTGTCTGAGGAAGAAAAGCTGTACTGAACTCCAGCCTCGTCCCCATGGCTCGGTGCAGGGTCTTCCAGAACTGACAAGTGAATTTCGCATCTCGATCAGACACGATCTCCACGGGAACTCCATGAAGCTTGACAATCTCATCCACGAACAACTCGGCATACTGACTAGCCTTCATAGTCGTCCGGACTGGCAGAAAGTGGGCAGACTTCGTAAGGCGATCCACAATCACCCAAATAGAGTCATGCCCGGTCCTCGACCTCGGCAATCCCACTAAGAAATCCATGGTGATGCACTCCCACTTCCACAAGGGAATCTCAAGTGGCTGCAACTTCCCTCTCGGTTTTTGATGCTCAGCCTTCACTTGCTGACATACCAGACACACATTCACGAACCTTACCACTTGCCATTTCATACCTCGCCACCAGAAAGACTTCCTCAGATCCTGATACATTTTCGAACTACCAGGATGGACGGTGTACGGGGCACTATGGGCCTCTCTCAAAATCTCCCTTCGCAATTCCCACACCTTCGAAACACAAAGTCTACCCTCGAAGACCAAGGCCCCATCAGATGCGACTGCGAATCCTCTAACTCTACCGGCTTCCGATATCTCCTTCATCCGGCAAAGGAAACGATCATTCGGTTCCTCGGCGACAATCCTCTCACGAAGAGTCGGTCCCACAACCAAAGAGGTCAACATACCCCTGGCTGTCGAAGGCGGCTCCACTACCTCTAGCTGTAGTCGCTCGAACTCCCGAAGAAGGACATCTTGCTCGGTAAAAAGACAAGATAACTTGCCATAACTCCTCCGACTAAGGGCATCGGCTACCACATTAGCTTTCCTCGGATGGTAGCTAATCGTGCAATCGTAGTCCTTGACCAGTTCCAACCACCTACGCTGTCGCATATTCAGCTCCCTCTGAGTGAAAATGTACTTTAAGCTCTTGTGGTCGGTAAATATCTCACACCTGCCTCCATAGAGGTAGTGCCGCCAAATCTTCAAGGCATGAACGACTGCAGCTACCTCAAGATCATGCGTGGGGTAGTTCTGCTCGTGAGGCTTCAGCTGCCTCGACGCATAGGCTACGACCCTCCCCTGCTGCATAAGGACACATCCCAAACCCATCTTCGAAGCGTCACTATAGATGGTAAACTCCAAAGTAGGATCATGAATAGATAGAACAGGCGCGGTAGTGAGTCTCCTCTTCAACTCCTGGAAACTCTCCTCACACTTTTGACTCCAATCGAACCTCACGGCCTTCTTCGTAAGGTTGGTTAGTGGCTGGGCTATCTTCGAGAAACCCTCGATAAACCTCCGGTAGTATCCTGCTAACCACAGGAAACTACGAACATTGGCGACACTTCTTGGCGTATCCCACTTGCTCACTGCCTCGATCTTGCTGGGATCCACCTCAATGCCTCTCGCTGTCACAATGTGGCCAAGAAATGCCACGCGATCCAGCCAAAACTCGCACTTCGAGAACTTAGCATACAGCTTCTCGCGGCGAAGAGTCTCCAGCACAATTCTCAGATACTCCTTGTGCTGGTCGATGCTCCGAGAATAAACCAAGATGTCGTCAACGAACACGATAACAAACTGGTCCAGGAAGGGATGAAAGACCCTATTCATAAGGTCCATAAACACGGCCGGGGCATTGCTGAGTCCGAATGGCATGACTACGAACTCATAGTGGCCATAATGGGTACGAAAAGCAGTCTTAGAAATATCCGACTCCCGGATCTTCAGATGATGATAACCAGAATGCAAGTCGATCTTGGAAAAGACGCTGGCTCCCCTTAACTGGTCGAAGAGATCCTCAATGCGAGGAAGGGGATACTTGTTCTTGACTGTAAGGGCATTCAACTCCCGATAGTCAATACACATGCGCATCGATCCATCTTTCTTCTTTACGAATAGGACGGGCGCTCCCCACGGTGAAACACTCGGACGAATGAAACCAAGATTAAGCAACTCCTGGATCTGGGCCTTGAGCTCTTGAAGCTCCTTCGGCGCCATACGATAAGGGGCCTTAGAAACAGGGCCGGCTCCTGGCACTAGATCAATGGTAAACTCCACTTGGCGGTCGAACGGTCCTCCGGGCAATTCATCAGGAAAGACATCGAGATACTCGCAAACAATAGAGACTCTCTCTGGGGACCTCTCAGAATCGTCCTCGGATACCATAGAAACCAGATAGCCTTGACAGCTACCCTTTGAAAGGCTATTCCTAGCTTGCATGGAAGAGATTACTCGAGGCACAGTCCTCGACTTCACCCCATAGAAAATAACAGGCTGATCGGAAACGGGAAAGAGACTGACTTCGCGCTCCTGACACCGGATATCGGCTCGATAGCGAGTGAGCCAGTCCATGCCCAAGATCACATCGAAGTCCCGCATTTCAATAACATAGCAATCGGCCTCCAAAATACGCCCACCAATACTGACTGGAAGACTGGAAATCATAGAATCGGAAATAATAATCCTTCCCGAGGCTAGACTAACCTCGAGAGGGTCACAGTTGCACATATTATCAATAGACAGGGCCTCCAAGCATCGAGAGGAGATAAAGGAATGAGTAGCTCCAGTGTCACATAACGCAAAGATAGGCACATTGGATAAAGAAATCATGCCAGACATGGTACCTGCGTTGTTGGCTGCCTCGTCATGAGCAAGGGTATAGACTCGGGCCTGACCCCCAGCCCTCTGCTGGTGTGGTGGGGGCTTCCTGTGCTGCTGCTGCTGGTGGTAAGGTGGAGGAGGAAGCTTCTGCTGCTGGGCCTGCTGCTGCTGCTGGGCCTGCTGCCTCGGGGGCTCGGGGCAAGCACTGAAGAAATGACCGGGCTTCATGCAGTTGAAGCAAACTCGCTGGGTGTACCGACACTCTCCTGGATGATAACGACCACAGTTACAGCACCTCGGAAACTGGTCTCGTGCGAAGGGGCGCTCACCACGACGGTGATTCCCACCGCGCTTTCCCCTCCTGTTATCCCGGCGGGAATCAAACTTTCTCTTGCCCGAACTAGAGCCGGGCGGTGCGGAGGAAATAGGCTGAACTAACTGAGTGGAAGGGGCAGAAATATTGGGAGTCTGATAACTCTCAAGCTGGGTGGCTCGAGTAACGGTCTCATCAAAGGAAAGATTCCCCTGGCTAGCAATATGCATACGGAGGGTTTGGTTCAGACCATCCCGGAACTTGTGGGCCTTCTTCAGGTCGGTGTCCACCATATGTGGAGCAAAAGCGCTCATGCGGGTGAACTTCCGCTCGTACTCCTCAACGGTACCAGTCCCCTGAGTAAGATCCCAGAAAGCGCGCTCCATCCTCATGCGATAACCCTGAGCATAATACTTCTCCATGATCACCTCCTTCATGCGATCCCAAGTCAGGACATTAAGCTCCGCCTGCCTCAACCTCCAATAGCCGGACCACCGTAAGGCAGCACTTCCCTTAAGCATATAACGACCACAAATAACCTTCTGCTCATCAGAGCACTGCAGGAGGTCAAAGTTATGCTCTAACTGATGGATCCACTCGGCCACAGCCTCGGGCCCTTTAGTCCCATGAAATTCTGGCAGAGTTAGACTCCGGAATTGGAGCACGATTTTGAGATGAGCCCCAGCCGGATTGGGAGCCTGCTGGTGAGGTGGAGATGGGGATGGAGACGGAGGTGGAGACAGAGTAGGCTGACGGTTGCGAGCATTACGACGAGCCATAGTTCTATATTGAAAATGGGTCGAACAGTTTAGCACAAAGAAGTCTAGAGTTCAACACTAGAGTTCACATTTAAAGGTGAATTAGTCCTAACCCGATTTTATTCCAATAATCAATAATGAAATAATATGCAATAATGTCAAAGTTATTCAGGTACTCATACCTGAGTTGGCGCGGCACGACGAGAGCGAGTGGTCTTAACATGAATTCGAAACACATAATCACATAATCAGCTTTTTATACTTAAACCAGTCTACAGAAACGCAACCTGGCTCTGATACCAAACTGTAACGCCCCACTTTTATTTACCGAAAATTAGAATAATTTTTTCGAATTTATTTCAAAAACAATATTCGAGGCGCTACTCATTTTCAAATCAATAATCAATACTCGACATTTTCTCAATATTCCGCAATTATCGACACTCATAATCAATAAGAAAATCCCAATAATCAATCAATAATCCAATAATGATCCTAGGGAGATAATCCCTATCAATAATACAATACTAGAAAAACAATAGTCAATAATAATGCAATAATATCCAAATTCAGTTCCAAGCGGAAGCATTTATTCAAATTAAAGACCACCACTCGCATCCCCTCCGTCGTGCCGCTCTATCTAACCTGCATCCATGAAGAGCAGGTGGGATGAGCACAAAGGAAACAGTAGTGCTCACCGCTATGCCATAAACGTTAATGTCAATAATCAACAGTAATCAATAATCAAAAGGTATGGTCTCAGCATCTATACGAAACAATAATCTATCCCATTCTCCCATCAATAATACAATAATCAGACTCATGTGCACACCTACGCATAGACTACTGCTGACTATATATCGAATGACCTCCGGTCCTACATCTAGTGCCAGCTAGTAGGAGTAAACCACCCCACCGGCCAAGGCCTTGCCTTGGACTTACCAATGAGGATCACCGGCCGAGGGACCTAAGCCCTGGTCTTACGGCTTCTCAAGGGAGACTACCCAAAGGTACGTTTTATAGCTACAGGGACAACCGTCCGGTGGCTGATACAGCTCACACCGAAGGCTACATGATTCACATGCATACTTTGATCATACCACAATTAAAACAGTAATAACATTTAAGGCATAGTAAATTTTACAATTACAACCCACCTGGAAATTCCGGTAGAAATGGCACACAAAAGTAAGCACGTAGGATGAGGCTCGGCTCCTCAAACACATACATTTAAGCGAGATAATTAGCAATAATTTATCTCACTACTCAATTTATCATAAAACCCATACTTAATAAAAGTCAAGTCTTAAGGGTTTTAATCGGATTTTCCGTGGACTTGGAACTCCCTAATTTTTGCAAAAAATAAGACTCGGAGAAGTAAATTGGGGTCTCGGAACTTAAAATAATTTTTCCCAAAATTTTATCATTTTAAAAATATTTTTAAAATTAAAATCGGTACGAAAAACGGCTTCCAAAACTTAAATAGGCTTAAAAAGGCGAGTTGGGCCGAGCTGGATTTTGGCCAATTGGGCCGCGCCTGGACTGAAGGGGCCCAAGACACAGCCTGTTAAGGGAACATTGGCGCGGGCTGGAGCAGGGCCTTCGCGGGCTGAAGCTGTTTGGAGGATCTGGCCGCGCGCGGGCTGGAGCGGGCCAAGCGGCCCGCGCGCCTGGGAGCTGAAATTAGCAAAAAGAAAGGCTACCACACACAACGCTGGGGTTCGAACACGAGACATCCTATGCGGAAAATAGCACAGTAACAACTGCGCCACACGCTCAATCGATGATTGGAAGAGAAAACTTAAAATAAAACAAAAGCTGCGGACCTGATTAACAACTGAACAGAACAGAGACTAAATATCGAACAGCAGCATAACATTTGAAAAATTTTAATAGAAGCTACCACAGGTTCGACTGAATTTCCAGTTGCAATTTCATGAGAGATTCGAACATTTACGAGCATAACGACTTTTCCCGAGTTTTGAAAATAAAATTTGAAATTGGATTTACTCAGAAAAAACACAAAACGGCCAAAATATACAAAAGAACGACGGGGCTTGAACGACCGAACAACCTAACGACGGCTCGAAATAACACAACGAGACCTCGAATTTATACACATATCACAGCAACACAACGGTATTCACGTTTATGAAATCGAGAGTTCCAATCACCTCCGAAAATCCACGAATAAACGAAATATACACACAAACAATTAAGTGAACCAAAAACAATCCGACTTCAAATCAATTTTCAGTAAACCGAACACATCATATATATAACGTGTGATATATGAAATCGATCGTAATAACGAGAGGATTCGAATAAATTACCCAACTTCGGGAAACTACGAGCTATCAAACGGGAAACGGGCCCGACAGCGGGTCGGATGAACGGCTTTGGGACTCGGACTCAACCCTTCGAACACTGGGTCTGTGACTGCTGGTCCTCGACAGCTCGATCTCTTTGTTGAGTGTACGTCGACGACGAACGGGGCTGCTCGGAGGTGCACGCTGGAATTAATGGTGGGAGCTGCTGCGACGTTCGTTGTCAGAAAACAGAGCTTCGTCAATGGTGGACTGCAGATGGTAATGAACGACTTCTACTGCACGACTGAGAGGGTTTCTCGGAGAGACGCCGACGAGGGTGAAGTTCGCCGGAATCAATGGCGACTGGAACTTGCAGGTTGGGGATTCCCTTTTTTTTTTTTTTTAACAGAGAGAACAGAGATGGAGAGATGATGGAGAGTCGAGTTGCTGCAACTGATATAGGCGAGAGGGAGAGATCGAGGGAGGACGTGCGTGGAGGATTTCCCACAAAATCGCAACGTGATTTTGAAAAGAACGGCCGAAGACTCGGTCTTGCGAGAGAGAACATTAAAATTGCCGTGCGATTAATTTCTCTTGGGCCAAGAATTTAAAAAAATGGGCCATCATATATATATATCATGATTTGGGCCTCATCTTATGCCATTTGGGCTGGAAATATTGTATCAAATTGGGCCAATTATATCTCAATAGCTGAAAACTAAAAGGGCCGGATATTCTAATTTAATCGGGTCGAAAAAATACAACGCGATAACGAGAATTCTCGATCGATTCGTTAGACGACGATAAACAAATACACGACTTATAATACATATATATTTCACACAATATTTTATTAATAAATCATTTAGATAATTAATATTAATAATAGTAATATTACTAATAACCATTAAATAATAGCAAAGTGACATTCAATAGCAATAATAATAATAATAATAATAATAATAATAATAATAATAATAATAATAATAATAATA